AACTTGAGGTAATGAATTATTTAATTCTTGTGTGTAGCAATTCTTGACACCTGAAAATGTTCACATATGAACACACACACACACACACACACACACACACACACACACACACTGCTCTGTGGTATAAAATTCAAATAACCCTAACACTGAGCATTCTGTCATGGATGGGGAAATTCAAATATGCTTATAATGCAGTCCTGTCCCCTACCATCTTCTAGTAGTCACCTTCTCAAAATGCAGGTGAAAACTTAACAGAGACAACATAAAAACAAGTTAGATTTCTGAATTTGAATAGTTAATGTGGTATATATCCAAAATGTAAGTTACTTGGCATGTTAAGACTATTCTTGAGACTCCAAGAAAACTCTTAACTTTCTCCCCAGAGAAAAACAAATTAAGAAAAGCCAAAAGATAGGTTCTCACCCACAGTCTGGAGCTGGGCACCACCGACAGTCAGGATCTGCAACAAGCCACCGTCGAAGCATAAATTCTTCGTATTTTTCCATTAAGACATCATCACTTAATATCAAGCGAATGTCATGGGGATTAAACCGTTCCGTACATTCTGGACAACTGATATTAACTCTACTTTCAGAGATTTCTATCCTTAGGTACTGTCGTAAGCAATCCACACAAGATCTATGGTGACATGTCATTATATCAGGAAATCTGTCTCTCGAGTGCCGCAAAAGGCACAGGGGACATTCTATGAAGTCTCCACTTTGTTTGCTGATACAAGTCAGCCCATTGTCAGAGGAGGTATTTGTAGAGAAAATGGAGTTCTTGTCAGTACACATCTCAGAATGTATACTTTCAATACTCGCAATTCCATCCACACCGCCATGGAGGTCCCTTGATTTCCGCTTGGTGTCCTTTTTCCTCCGAAAGAGAGCGCCTATTGAAATCCTCCTCCTCTTGGGGGCCTTCTTGACAGAGGGCAAGCTCACGGACGAGGCAGAGGACTGGAGATCTCTGTCTGAACCCATCTGCCCATGCAAACTCATGTCTAAAATGCTCATTAGAGTTGAGGTGGGGTCAGTGCTCACACACAGCCCTTCATCATACTCCAAAGTACAATTTATTGTTTGTTCTTGTGTTCAGGTTTAGGTCATGATGTAAAAAAGTCCTGTTGGCTTCTTCAGAATATCTTGAAAAAGTTCAATTAGAAAAGACTGCTGTCACAGATGTCCTAAAAAGAGAAAAAAAAAATTAACTGTATTTTTATGTGTATGTTTTTATAATCTTACAGGTTCTCCATGAAAAATTTAACAAGTATGCTCTACAACCATTAGCTTAAAAACTAAAGTCAGTAGTCTACAGGAAAATATACAATAAATGCTGAAGTAGCAACAAAAACATTCTTTAATCCTAATGGAAGACTTTACACTTCAGTGGAAACAATTGTTACAAAAGTCTTAGATAAATGCTGATGCTGTCATTGACTTAACTAATTCCTCACTGATTTTGTTTTTATTTAGGAATACAATGTATATGCAAACACAAAAAACTCAGAACAGCTTATATGATAATCTTGAAGAAAAACATTCTAGGTAAAGGGTCCCTTACATTCCAGAAACAATCACTTATATAATTTCATAATTTTGTCAATGTGGTATGTCAGACCAATGGAACGGAACACAGTCTTGTAAAAAACACCACATATTAGCCGATGGTGGCATACAACTTTAACTGCAGCACTTGGGAGGCCGAGGCAGGCGGATCTCTCTGAGTCCGAGGCCAGTCTGGTCTACACAGTGAGTTCCAGGACAGCCTCCAAAGCTACACAGAGAAACCCTGACTTGAAAAACAAAAGCAAACAACACACACCTCGCCTATTACATTTGAGTTTTCACAAAGGTGACTTTGTTGAGCACTAAAAATGGTCTTTTAAAAATTATTTGAGAAGGGATCAGGAATTTGACTTATGCTACACAAGCCTGATGGCCTGGGTTCTATTCCTGTAACATACACGTGGCAGGAGGAGGGAAATGCCTCCCGAAAGCTGTCCTCTCAATTCCATGCATACACCATGCCACGTGAACACAAAAACATACAAAGAATAATAAAATAATTTAAAAACTCAATTATATCAAATTCACAAGTTTTAATGTGAAGAACTTTTTGGGAGACAAAAAAAAATACTTCAACAACAGATTTCTTATACAGACCATTACAGGTATTAATTATAAGATAAAAGATGGCAATGACGAAGCCACAAGACAGAAGCCGCAAACAGCTAATAAAAGAACAGTGTCCAGAGCAGGTAAGAGCATCTACAAGTACCCAGCAGAAAATGGAGCGAGGACAAAACAAGCACCTCACAAAAGCGTGTTCAAAGGTGCAACACCATTCGTCACCATACAGCCTCACAGGCAGGCCGCTGTACACCTAGGAGACGGCTAAAACTCAAGGACTGGCATTTCTAGATGTCGGCAGGGATATGCAGGGTGAATACTCTGCTAAGATGGCGCAACTACTCTGGAAGCCGTTTAACAACACCACCAAACTGAAGCATATGGATGGCCAGCACTTTTACGCTAAACAAGACCACACACATAAAGGAGGAAGCATGTTTAGCAAAGAATAAGCTTTCTTACTAAAATGCAGACTTTATACAATAGCAACAGTAAGAAAACATTTAAGTCTGAGAGCCACACGAAGACTCAAACAAAAGGTTTTGGGTATTATACAAATTTGTCAGACTGGAAATGGTTCAACAGCAATCACAACTAAAGAAATAATAATCCAAACATTAGATACCATTGTGGTAGATACCAACAGAAGTTGTAAAGGTTCAGTGAAAGAATCACCCCACGTCTTGCTAAAAGAATCTAATGTGTGTGTGTGTGGGGGGGCAATTTAGCATTATTTACTAAACTTTAAAACAGAAATATTCTTAAGCCCAGGTATCCTACTTACAAAGTTAATTCTTTAAGTGAACCAATAATATACATTGGAAAGAAATCTATTTATTGCTATATAGTTGGTAAAAAGAGAAAAAAAATGCAAAACAGCAAAATCCCCATGTAAAACCAGAAAATAACATTTAAGCCTGGCACTTGGGAGCAGAGGCAGACTGAACTCTGAGTTCCAGGCGAGCCAGGGCCACACAGAGAAACTCTGTCTTGAAAAATCAATAAAAAAGTAAATAACATCTGAGTATTCAACTGGGCACTTAAATGAACAAACTATAATCCCAATATAAACTACGGAAAGACTCACACAGAATGCTGTCATCTACCTGGTACGAGACATTTGCAGAACAGGACACGAAGTGATTTGGCTGCACAATACACTTAACAACCACTAACACTACAGACACTTCCTTTGACACACTCACTTAAAAACAAATTTCTACAAGGTGACTTCTGCCACTCCCCCCCCACACACAACAGATACCATGCTCTCTCTGTTTCTCATTATGCTATGGAGACAGTAAGACATGTTCATTTCCCCCCAAATTATTATTTATTTAGTTTTATGGGGTTTGTTTTTTGAGACAGGTTTCTCTCTGTAGCTCCACCTATCCTGGCCTCAAACTCGGGAGTACTGGGATTAAAGATGTGCGCCATCACCACCTGGCTAGGTTTCTTTTGTTTTTTGAGAAAGGGTCTCAGTATGTGGTTCTAGCTGTCCTGTAACTCACCTCCAACACATATACCTGCCCCTGCCTCCCGAGTGCTGGGATTAAAGGAGCATGCTACCATACGCTGCTTTTGTAAAAAGTAGGTGTATGTTTGTGTAACTGTGTGCAGGGGTGTATGCATGTGTGTGGTAGCCACCTGCTTCCTGACATGGACCCTGGGAACTTAAGTCTTGTAGGAGAGCAGTAAGTACTCCTAATTGCTAAGCTACATCTCCAGACCCAAGACTTATTTTTAAAAATCCACACACTGTAATGACTATCCTTTGGAAAAAAGGATCCAAGGGAATAATTATCTATAAACAGTTGACTAAAGAGAATGGGAAAAAAGAACTCAGTAACAAGAACTGTGGTGGGCTCTCACAGTTGGAATCTTGCTCTCCAGGTACAGAACACTGAGATCACTACTATTAACAAGAAGCACAGGCTGCCTATCTGGGCCTTAGTGATCTAAAGAAACCTCTCTCTCTCTCTCTCTCTCTCTCTCTCTCTCTCTCTCTCTCTCTCTCTCCCACACACACACACACAACACAACACCCACACACACTCCC